CTTAAAGAAGCTTCAGCTTGAATGGTACTAGTAGCTGCTTGATCCCAAGAAAATATGTATTTGCAACCTTCTCCTGTCAGTGTCCCCTTGAGCTGAATACATATTTTCCTTGAGCCACATATGGAAACCCCAGAGAAAGTAAAGCTTATTTAAGAATGCCATGACTTTTGCAGCAAGATCTCAGTCTGAGTCTTTAACTTTTTGCCTCTCGTTATTCATGCAATTCTTTCTGGGTGTGTGTGTCTTGCAGCAAGCCATAGGGGAGAAGTTCTCTGCACTTGAAGACAGAGAACAGGAACTGAACCAGCTTTATTTGTCCATAAAAGAACAAGATTGTGATCTGAAAGGTCTACATCAAGTTATTTCTGGCAACAAAGCTACCATCCAGGTAAATTGCCACCATAAGGGTAGTTGTTCTGGTTACTTTATAGGCCATACCTTAATAATAATTAATGAGATTGAAAGTAAAATGCAGTTGTTTTTGACAACAATCTCTTGAGGTGAATCAAAAAAGTTCACACCTAGTACTCAATTTTTAGATCAGTTCTACAGTATATAGAACTGATATATAGTATATAGGTATATCTTACCTATGTACAGTATATAGGTAAGTCGGCAGGCCAATAGTTTATCTGTCTTGGCATGCCTATCCTGACTGTGACATTTTGTAAGATTTCAATACTACATAAAATTCCTTTTTTACTATATGTATAAATTGTTTAAGATTGAATAAAACTTTGTAAGTTAGGGAAGTGTTCCTAGTTATTTTGGGCTGAACTGCCATGAATGCCAGCCAATATAGCCAACAGTTGGGGATAGCACAAGTCGCAGTCCAAAATAACTGGGGGCATTAAATTCCCTTCTGTTGTAAGAAATAGAATTTCAGCTTGGGTGGGTACAGCATGTTTGCTTCATGGATAAATTTATCCTTTATCCTAATATGATTAGCTTTAAAACTATAAAAAAAGGATGGAATTAATACTATTTTGGACTTCAGGAAATTCAGAAACAGATTTGATTTGTCTTATCTTGAGCTATTTGTTATTCATGTTTACCTTAATAGTGTTTAGAGAGCTTGCTAAAAGCCAAGGACCTGGAACTGGAGAAGATGTTAGCAGCCAACCAGAATTTGCAATGGCTGATCAAGAATATAGAAGCAAAATCTCAGAAATGGCAATCTGAACAAGAAAGGATTATCCAGAAGCTTCATGACAGAAACAAAGAAGTAGAGGTAAGACTTGTGGTTCAGCTTGTTAGGAAAGAAGCTGAAGAGAAAGGAATGAACAATGACTTGGAGAACAATGGTTATCTTGAGATTTAGACCACAGTGGCTGGGGTGCGTAAGACATACTACCCCATTTTATTAAGTAGTTTTTGTAGTGGTGCAGATATAGTTTAGGCATTTTGCTATCTTTTTTGACTATGCTGCTGATGGAGCATTGTTATTAATGTTTTCCAGTTAGGGCAGCAACAAAGCTGTAGGGGATAGAAGGCTGATCTCCTCCAGGCTTATCTTTCTCTTGTCTCAGACCCTTTCGGCAACACTGCTCTGCAATCTGGAGCCTGGACAGAGGGACACCATAGAAGCCCTCCACCTCCACCTTCAGCAAAAAGACCAGATCATAAAAGAATTCCTATGGGAGAAGAGCCAGCAAGTTGTAGACCCAGTAGCTGAGCTTGAGGAGTTACTTCAAGCATGGAACACTAGAGAACAACAAAGTTATGTAAGTGGGATACTGTGAATGAGAAAATCAGTCTTGATTATAGAATCACAGAAGGAAAGGGGGAAAGGAATCTTCCACATGATCTAGTTTAGCTTCCTGCCATCTATCTTCCTCTATTGATGGCCATCCATCCATCTTTAAACAAGATGGCCACTCTTGTTTGGATCTTAAGAAAACTTATTCATTGGTTGAGGAGCCTGATACAATAAAATCATAATAAAACCAAGAATCTTGTTTCACCATTATTCTATTCCTGGAGTATTCAGCAGAGGTTTCCCAAGTAGTCTTCTGATGGAATGTTCATGGGTCCATAGTCTGTCATTCTAACAAAATCTATTCTCGCTAAATGGGAATTTGATATTTTATTTACTTTTTATAAAAATGCTTTTTTGTGAAATGAAGATTATTTTTAAAAAAATCTTGGAAAAACAAGGGCTATGCAATACTGCTTTTCTTCTTTTTGTCTGCCTGAATGAAGATGGTAAATGCCTGTGGATAATGTATTTTCATCACCTCTCAAGAAAGGTGCTGTGACTATGGTATCCATTCTAACTAAATTCTTTTATGTTGCTGATTTGATTATGAGGCATCGGTTCAAGGCCTTTTCTATTATTGTAATCAAAACATACACTGATATTAAAATAAATATTTTTGGCCATTTTGCAGCTTCTCTTTCATTTTTTGTAAGCTTTTAAATTTTTGTTTTTGATTGCTGACTTTTATTTTCCTAATAATTTTGATTTCTTTTAAATTAGTGATGCTCAAAAATATTTTTATATTTTTCTGTGAAATTGCGAACAAATTGTATTTGTCCGGTCAATAAGTATATTGTATGTAAATATTATTGAACATTGTTATTGTGTGACCCATTTATTAATGCTTGCCTTTCTCTCTCCTGGCCTTGTTGTATAATTAGATATATTCCAAGAAGATTGCACAGGTACTTACAGAGAAGAATTCTGAGCTGCAAATCCTGAATCAGCAACTGATTAGTCAAATTCTTCATCAGAAAATGGAGTTGTCTATTGTTCAGTTTGTACAACAAGAGGGCTCTATTGATGTAAGAGTATTTGGGTTTATGAGACAGCACAGTTAAACAGATGAATATCAGGCAAGCCACAGATGGCAAGAGGCAAGAGCAGTAGTTTTGTTATACAGAGGTGAAGCTTGAATTGAAAGGAAAGAATGGCAAGGGCTAAACAAATGGTAATTAAAAATAGAGATCTGTGTCTAAGTAAAATTTTTGGGTACTAGTCAACATTGTTGCCCTTCAGAATGTATGTAGAATAGATGATTTGAGTAGTAATAGGTCCATCTTTGAAAAAGGGGAAATGCTATGTAGGTCTGTCACCTTCAGTCAATAAAGGAAGCCTTTCTAGAATAGGCTAATAAGTGGTTGGGTTATGGACAGTGGAAACAGTACATTAATTCTTTGGAAATGGCATGAGCTTATCAAAAATAAAGTACACAAAACTAACTTTACAGGTAGTCCTGATTGTCAGTTCAGTGATTGATCAAAGTTACGATTAGGCTGGAAAAAAATGGCTTACAACTGGTTCTTGATGTTAGCAGCACCCTGCAGTCAAATGATCAAAATTTGGCCAGCCCACAGTTACAGCTGCTGCCAACCATCTATCTTTAGTAAAACAAGTATGCACATTTTTATTCTAAGGCACCAAGGCAAGAGGATTCTACCATGAATATCCCAGCCATGATTTCTAATAGAGATGATAGTAAATCCAGGAGGGATAAAGGTTGGTCCATAAACAATTTCTGAACAGTCTTATCCATCTGTTATATAATGTTTGTCTAAAATTGTTTTACTTTCTCTTCAGATGATTTGCAAACAACTGCTAGACTTGAGAGGGAGCTTACTAAAGCAAAAGAGGATCTTGAATTGTTGACACAAAAAGAAAGAGAAAGCACGGTAAGTTTGAGGAACCCTGAGATATCTACAGATCACATTTAACACATAAAAACAATTTACTAGTAGTACAGGTAATCCTCAAGATATGACTGTAATTACAATTGCCCCTTACAATCACAAGTGGTGATGGCTGTTAAGAGAAATGGTATCACTTAATGGCACTCACATCCTGCTCTCCCTGATGCAGCTGTTAAAATAATACATAGGTGCCTTAGGAGGTGAGGGAGTTCCTGAGAAATCTAGTGCAGTATGGGTGCTGCAGCTTAAGCCCAGGAAGGCCAGAGAAAGAAGCTGTAGCTACCCCAGTCTGGCCCAGCAGCACAATAAAAAGGCCTCTTGCCCAGGAAGCACAAAACACCTGGGAAGGTTCCACAGTGGGGCATGAGGCAGCCATCCCCCCCAGAACAAAACACCACAGAAACCTGGGAAATGTGTGACTTTGAGTGGGTGGAGGGGGCTGCTTCTTACTCTTGAGTGTGAATGACTTTGGGAGTATAGCAGTGGCCATACATTTGAAACTAGGTCAACTTTCAACTTTATTGGGTTCCACATTTCTAGGAAGTAGCTTTATTCCATACGTTAGCTTTAATGTTCCAGAGACATAAATGGTTTTGTTTTTTATGGAGCACTTTCTCCAAGCCAGTTGTTCCTCCTTTTATGAGACCCATAGAACAGTGGAATCTGCAGCTCAATTTTTAGCTTGGTTAAAATAGTGTTTAATGCCAAACACCTATTCTTCCAATCAAAGGAAGATAGCTCTGAACTCTTAAGACCATAGGATCCAAAATCCCATTATAAGAAGATCATTGTGTTCAGAGTTTTGCAGTGATAATTCAGTGCCAGAAAAATAAACACAGATGGCTGATGCTTCATTTAACATCTTTATAAACATAACAAGTGGATTTTACAAACCAGTTGTAGATTTCTCCAACATGGAACAAACTCAGACAGAAACATGTTGTAAGTAACTTCAGTAGCACACAGAAACAGACATCAGTTTCACTTTAGTTCAGCAGGCAAACAGAGGAGAGAAGCAGTTTCATTTTCAACAGACAGACTCAGAGCTCAACATAGCTGCAGAGCTTAATATAGAGCCACGCCTAGACTACTTCTAGTTTCAGTTTTCTAGGCTACTTCTAGTTTCAGTTTCCAAACAATTCTCATTGGTTTACAAGGTCATTGGCTGACCTTGTTACCATGCTCTATTCCAGTTCATGAATATACTCTGACACATTGTGCCAAATGTTGGTCTATCAAAGGATTTGGGGATTACTGAGTACAACATTATCTTCATTTGTTTTCTCCCATCTCAACCCCATAGTTGAAACTCTCTACTCTTCAGTCTGTGGTGGTTTCCCAAGAGGAGGAGCTTCAAGTTCAATCCTCTGATATTGAATCTCTTACTAGAAGTATCCAGATCAAAGAAGAACTAATTAAGGTTAGATTGCGTACAAAAATATTTTCAGTTTTGTCTTCCTGCAGATTTTACAGTGTTTGTAGTAGTGAGCAAATTGCATTGATTTCCTGTTTCTCCGTCTTTGTTCCAGAAAGTAGAAAATTTACATTTTAATATTAATATATAGTTATAAACAGTATGATTTTAATACACCGCTCAAAAAAATAAAAGGAACACTTAAACAACTCCAAGTAACTCCAAGTAAATCACACTTCTGTGAAATCAAATTGTCCACTTAGGTTGCAACACTGATTGACAATCAATTTCACATGCTGTTGCGCAAATGAAATAGACAACAGGTGGAAAGCATAGGCAGTTAGCAAGACATCCCCAATAAAGGAGTGGTTCTGCAGGTGGTGACCACAGACCACTTCTCAGTTCCTAGGCTTTCTGGCTGATGGTTTGGTCACTTTTGAATGCTGGCGGTGCTTTCACTCTAGTGGTAGCATGAGACGGAGTCTACAACCCACACAAGTGGCTCAGGTAGTACAGCTCATCCAGATGGCACATCAATGTGAGCTGTGGCAAGAAGGTTTGCTGTGTCTGTCAGCGTAGTGTCCAGAGTATGGAGGCTCTACCAGGAGACAGCCCAGTACATCAGGAGACGTGGAGGAGGCCGTAGGAGGGCAACAACCCAGCATCAGGACCGCTCCCTCCGCCTTTGTGCAAGGAGGGACAGGAGGAGCACTGCCAGAGCCCTGCAAAATGACCTCCAGCGGGCCACAAATGTGCATGTGGCTGCTGAAACGGTCAGAAACAAACTCCATGAGGGTGGTATGAGGGCCCAACATCCACAGGTGGGGGTTGTGCTTACAGCCCAACACCGTGCAGGACGTTTGGCATTTGCCAGAGAACACCAAGACTGGCAAATTCGCCACTGGCGCCTTGTGCTCTTCACAGATGAAAGCAGGTTCACACTGAGCACATGTGACAGATGAGACAGGGTCTGGAGACGCCGTGGAGAACGTTCTGCTGCCTGCAACATCCTCCAGCATGACTGGTTTGGCAGTGGGTCAGTAATGGTGTGGGGTGGCATTTCTTTAGGGGGCCACACAGCCCTCCATGTGCTCGCCAGAGGTAGCCTGACTGCCATTCAGTATCGAGATGAGATCCTCAGACCCCTTGTGAGACCATATGCTGGTGCGGTTGGCCCTGGGTTCCTCCTAATGCAAGAGAATGCTAGACCTCATGTGGCTGGAGTGTGTCAGCAGTTCCTGCAAGACAAAGGCATTGATGCTATGGACTGGTCCGCCCGTTCCCCAGACCTGAATCCAATTGAGCACATCTGGGACATCATGTCTCGCTCCATCCAGCAACGCCACGTTGCACCACAGACTGTCCAGGAGTTGGGGGATGCTTTAGTCCAGGTGTGGGAGGAGGTCCCTCAGGAGACCATCCGCCACCTCATCAGGAGCCTGCCCAGGTGTTGTAGGGAGGTCATACAGGCACATGGAGGCCACACACACTACTGAGCCTCATTTTGACTTGTTTTTAGGACATTACATCAAAGTTGGGTCAGCCTGTAGTGTTTTTTTCCACTTTAATTTTGAGTGTAACTCCAAATTCAGACCTCCATGGGTTGCTAAATTTGATTTCCATTGATAATTTTTGTGTGATTTTGTTGTCAGCACATTCAACTATGTAATGAACAAAGTATTTAATAAGAATATTTCATTCATTCAGACTCTTCCGGTTTGTCGGCTTCACGAGCGGCAGGGATTCGCGACACTGCGCGATCCCTGCTGCGCTAGCCGTTTTTGGTGCTCCGATCTGGACGGGTTTGGAGCTAAGGCTGCCCTGCAGGGGCGGCTGAAGATAGGGGGGATCCGGAGAGGGGTTTGGGGGTGTTGCAGACCCCCTCCCCGGCCGGTTGAACCCCCTTTTCCCAAGACGGTGCAGCGGCGGACCGCAATGGCCGCCACAAAGAAGCCGGCAGCTGGGTAAGAATGCGCAGGAGGAAGAGGAGAAGCCTTTGAGAGTGAAAGTTTTTCTTGGCTGACCCAGGACTCTAAGGCATATTTAACAAAATTCCTGGAAATTATGGCTTTTTGAATGTTACCTTCCAGAAGAGAAAATAAGCGGCAAATTTTGAGGTGCTGAAAGGAAAGTTTACTCTCCTTCCCTACGGAATCAACAAGTGGATATTGAGAAACCTGTCTTTTTCGGGTAAAAACTGGCTTTATGTGATAAGTGGGAAGGGAGAGGACAAAAAATATATTTATATGTTAAGATTTTGTTGGAGGAGATGCCTTAAGGATTTGAAGACTGAAATATATTGCAATAAGGCTTTAAGATACAGATTTGGACTTTCTTTGTTCGATTGATACTACCCCAGGAAGAGAAAGTGAGAACTTTGTCTTGGCTTGGATTGATTGATGACTTTGGGATTGTTCTATTTTTTTGAAATATCTTGGTTGTTGCAAGAAGAAAGAGGGGGGGAAAAAAGACAAGAAAAGATTTATAATGGCTTTTTCTGTTGAGGAACTGAGAAAAGAATACGAGCAAACAAAAAAAGATGGCAAAGATGGTGTGAAAGAAGCCTTCCTTTTTTTAGAAATGGCGCTTGCTACCTATCAACAAACACTACAACAGATGGAGGCAGCAGAAGAGGAAGAAGAAGAAGCCATCTTTAATGAATTTCAAAATTTAACTAAGAAAGAAGGAAGAGAGAAAGGAAGGAAAATGAAGGACTTAAGGTTTAAAAAAACACTCAAGAAAGAGAAAACTAAGGTGCAAAATCAATATAATGATAGTATACAAAAGAAAAAAGGAACACAACAGAGAAGGGAAGCCAGTAAGGCAGAGGCTAGGAGAAGGGGGGGTAGGAAGGTCTGGTGGGGGAAGAAAGAAAGGGAAAAGGTGGAGAAAAGCCACAAAGTTTTGAAATCAGATGGGAAAAGAGGAATCTTTTTTAGGGACAAAGGGTAAAATATAATTTCTTTAAAAAAGATTTTGCAAGGTACATAAGATGGTATGGTAGCATTTGTATTAGAAATATAAGAGTTAATAAGAGATTAAAATGTTGAAATGTTTAGTAATGATTGATTTTAAAAGTTAATAAAATATTAAAGGGAATGTTTAGAATATTGAGTTTTAATTAAAGAGTTTAATATGACTATGATATTGATGTTATTATAAAATTATTATTGTAGCATTTGTCTTTGGAAAAGGCAATGGGAATGTTATAAGATTCAATATTTAGATTTATTATTTAAATATGTATTTAATCATTTTGGATTTATTATTTTTCTTTTATTTAAAAAAAAAATTAGTAGATAGAATGTACCAAGCAGAATCAGATTGGGTATTAGGTGTTATTTTAAATGTTAATCTAATTAATTTAGGGGGAAGATAGAAAGGCATCATACTCTGATTAGTGATTTCAGGAGAAATTCTTTTTTATTATTATTATTATAAGGAATGAGACAAAGGGATAATAAAGAATGGACAAAAGATACAAATATAATGACTCAAATTAAGATGGATTAAATAAGATAGAATTAAGAAGAGTGAAAGGTGTGGAGAAGCTAATATAGAAGACATAGAATGGTAAATAAAATAGGTAATGACATGTAAGATGAGTATGAATATAATTGAAGTCCATGTAGAGAGAGGTACCTGGGGCCAAGTTACTTTCCAAAAAGATTTTTTATATGTTTGTGTGTTGTGTGTTTATGTTTCTGGGAGAATTAATAAAACCTTGCAGAAATATAGAATGAGAATAATGGTAACCAAGTCAGAAAGAAATAGATGAAATAATAATAGTGAAATTGAATAAGAGTAAAGAGAAGTAAAGAGAAATTGGATAAGAGGTATTTGTATGCTCATATGGAAATGGTTTAAAATAGAATTATATTGTATAAAATAAGGTTTTATTTGACTTGTAAAATTTATAATGGAAAAAGGTTTAAGTATGTAATGGTTAATGATGATTTGTTTGTCTTTAAAATTAATAAAATTTGTTTAAAAAAAAAAAAGAATATTTCATTCATTCAGATCTAGGATGTCTTATTTTTGTGTTCCCTTTATTTTTTTGAGCAGTGTATAAACCAGACCTGTTTGTTTAGTCTTTAATCCCAGACCTGTGCTAGACTTTTAATTTGAAAGCTTTTTCTTTGAAAATTAATAATATCATTAAAGTTTTGGGCAATGTTGTTTTCCTCTGTCAAGATGCAATACTAATACTGTACTGAGTTTCTTTCTTTAATTCTCCAGGACATATTCTTGTTCTTTTTCAGGACTTGCAGATGCAATTGATTGACCCTGAAGAAATACCAGCAATTGAACGACTTACTCAAGAAGTTTTGATGCTTCAGGAAAAGGTAGCAAAAATGGAAGCACAGGGACAGGAAGCTATAAGAGACAAGAGGCAGCAGGTAGGTGTCATATGAGGAATTCAAGCCAGCATGACTTAAGCTTCTGTCCTGCCTTTGTTCAAAGGAAATGGGATTCTGTATATTGTGTTATTATTTTTATGGTATTGCTGAGATACATTGAGAGCTACTTTGGTATACATCAGGCTAGAGATTATGAATTATTCCTATCTTAAGCACAAAGTCAGCTGGATGACTCTGGGCCAGTCCCTCTCTCATTCCCAGGAGGAAAGCCACAGTAAACCACTTTCAAAAACCTGACAAGAAAACTGCAGGAATGCAAGAATTCATTGGGAGCTGTCTTCCACTTTTTAGAAATGGCGGTTTCTACGTACCAGCAAATACTTGAGGAAGAAGGAGAAGAAGAAAAGGAAGCCATTTTTAATGGTCAAAAAAGTTCAATTAAGAAAGAAAATAGGAAGAGAGGAAGGAAAAATGAGAATTTAAGATTCAATAAAACAACCAAGAAAAAGAAAAATAAGGTGAAAAAAAGGTACAATGTTAGAAAGCAATTGAAAAGAGAATTACAACAGAGAGGGGAAGCTAAAAAGGTGGAGGTTAGGAGAGGTGGGGGGCAAAAAGATCAGACTGGAGAAGAAAGGGAGGGGAAAAGGGAAAAAAAGCCACGGTCTGAAACAAGATATCTTTTTTAGAGATAAAGGATAAAGGACAGTGTATAATTTAAGAAAGATTCTGCAAGAGTACATAAGATAGTATTGTAGTATTTGCATTTGAAATAGTCTATTGGAATATTATAAGATTTAACAAAATATTAAAATATTAAAATGTTTTATAATGATAGATTTCAATATTTAATAAAATATCAAAGAGAATGTGTAAAATGATTAATGCTTAGTTATACTATTAATTAGAATTAGAATTAGAATGGAAATTATATACTTAACTATATTATAAGTTTATTATTCTTTTTTTTTCAAAATGCAATATGTAGAATGTACTAAGCAGAATCAGGATAGAAATTATGTATTATTTTAAGTGTTACTTTAGGGAAAGGTGTCACACCTTAAAAGTGATTACAGGGGAAATTCTTTGCTAAAGAGAAGAGATAAATAGATGATTGGAAAAGAACGGACAAAAGATACAAACATAATGATTTTGAAATAAGATGAAATAAACAAAATATAATTAAGAGAGTGAAAAGAAGGGAGAAGTTATATAGAAAATATAGAATGGTTAATAAGATATGAATGGTATATAAGGTGAGCATGAACTTGATTTAGGTCTGTAAAAAAAGATGTAACCCGGGGCTAAGCCACTTTTCAAAAGAAGTTTTATGTTTTATGTTTTGTGTTTTGGTTAGCTATGTTTTGATTGTGAATTAATAAAACCTTGGAAGAATAAAACTAAAGGGAGAGAAATTTGGAAAAGACATGTATAAATGATAATTAAGGAGGGTTTATCTTTTTATGTCTTGTTTTATGTTTTGTATTTTGTGTGTTTATGCTTGATTGAGAATTAATAAAACCTTGATAGAAAGAAATATAATTGAATAAAAGTGAAGGGAGAAACAATGAGAAATTTGGAAAAGATATATACGTGTTTAAATGGAAATGTGATAATGTGGAACTATGCCTTAAAAATAATGCTTTATTTGCCTTGTTAAAACTTATAAGTAATTTTTGAGAAAGGAGGTTTTATACTTTGATGTCTTATGTTTTGTTTGTCTTTAAAATCAATAAAACTTGTTTAAAAAAAAAAGAAAACTGCAGGAACTAGTTCAGGCAGTCACCAAAAGCCAATAGGGGGTTAGTATCAATAGCAAACATAAATGTAAGCAATAAAATCTACATTTATTGCCAATTGAAGTGGACTGTTTACGTTGCAGCTACTGGTGATGTTGGAGGGCTTAGTAGCAGAGAAGAAGCAGCTGAATGAAACTCTGAAAGTAGAAAAGCAACTCTATTGCAATTTGGTGAAGTTTCATGCTCACCCTGACAGGTGAGGAAGATAATTTATTCCTATTTTCTATTTGCAAAAAAAGATTGGAATATATTTTCCTATTACTCATTGCATATTTAAAAAATATTATTGATTGACAGTGCTGAAAAGGATTGGGGTGGGAAGTCTGTTTGTATGCCTATAATTTTCCAATCTTCATGTCAGTACAATAGTGACATTGTTACAAATTGTAGGATCCATATTGTGTTCAGAACAAGTTGGTACACCTTGTCCTAATCTCCTTTCTTTTGTGCTTTGCCTCACCAACTCTAGACAAGAACAGATCCTTCAAGTAGAACTGGAGAAGATCCAGGCACTTCATGGACAACTAGAAAGGGTCCTTGGAAAAAGCCAGGAGCGCCTGAGCAGGCTGGAATCATTGGACAGCATAGGAGGTGGGGAACAAGAACGTGTGACAATCCTACCCAAGCATGCCTGCTGAGCTCTGGCCTTCCCACTACCCCTGGCGCAGAACAGAAGCTGAACTAACAGAGCAAGCTTGTTTTGACATTGAAGGGGTTGATTAGTACTTGCTGGAAATGGCATTTTTACAAGCTTATGTGGGCATCATTCACATTCCTAATATGGGCCTCTCAAGAGAATGTAAATATTTTTTTTTTACAGTTTCTTATTCCTTTCTAGTTGTGCCCACTTTCATTCTCCCCTCCCTTGAATTTGGCTAAATAAAGATTATTCCTTTCCCCATTTGAATTTAATTGTTATGTGCCATATTTTGTGTGCATACATTATAGAGATGTGGAGAGTAGGAAAAAGATTTTTTTTAATTTGCTGCATTTGTTTAATTGTTTTGTTTTTATTTTTCCCATGCTTTTGTGTAAAAACTTCTTAAAAGTCTAGAATCAGCATAATCTTATTTTAGATCATCTTAAAATTACGATGAGAGTATTGTGAAGAAATTCCACACAAACTTGGCCACAGCAGAAACAGAATATTTCATGTTTTTAGTTGTATTTTGTGGAAACTTGCAAAAGAACAATATATGTTTTATTTTATTGGTTCTCCTTGCATAAAGTGGAAGCTTTGGTCTACTCTCAAATGTCAAAGTTATTGGGGTTACTTACCTAAGTTGGGGTGGATCCACATTCATTCCAACCACTTTCAGAATTTTTCTGTTAGGTCTTTAAAATAGTCTTTAAAATAAAATAAATTTGATTTTTTTTGTGTTGATTTACATAATCTTCCCTTTCTTCCTAAAGTCCCTAATGTAAAAAAATATAGACCATCATTGAAATTTTAAATGATAAACATATTCTACATTGTATTATATTCAGATAATACAGGTTTAATGTTGATAACTTACGTTGGAAAGGAATGCTACCACATACATGTCTTCTCCAGGAAACAATAAGGTAATATCACCAAAATCATTAGAAATTCCTCATAATTTTGAATATTGTTACATACAGTTTTCAAAAATCACATTAGTGTTTCAATATTTTGTTTTGAATAAGAGCATTTTTCAGTCATGTATTAGTTTATATTAGATTATGTTGTTTAAAAATGTGTTATTTCACATAAAACTTATTTGCTACTGAATTTCATTAAAACTTTGTATATGTTCTGGTACATAAAGGGTATCAGAGTAAACAAATAACATCCAAGTTTGCATCCAACATGAGATGTGTCAGTATAATTATTCCGTCTTCCCTCGTTCAATCAATTCAAGTAAAGGAATATTAGGATCAGAAAGATATTCATTAAATCATCATGATTGATTTAGTCCACTTGATGAAAATCTTTTTCCTTCACAAATTTTAGAATACCGAAATCTGATAACAAGAAAAATATGCAAGGACAATCAATAAACTACCATCACTTTCCCCAGGTATATGAAATGGAAAGTGGTTTTTTCTGGGCAGAGATTCACAGTCTCAATTAGAAAGATCTACTGTTTTCTCCCAGCTCTCCAAGGAGTGCACTTACAATGGGATAACGGGGGACATTTGTTACTAACTTTGAAATGGCATAAGGTATTTTCAATATGCAGTGACATTATGTTCTCTGAAACACTCTGCTTTCAGGCATACAATCTAATTGTCAGTTGATTGATTTGGCCAGACTTGTGACACCTTTGTTGCTTGTTGGTATAAATTTTTAATATGAAATTCACTAACATGTGATGGGGATGATCAGTGATTTGGCTTTGAAAGAGGACAAGGCCTACAACTTTAAAGGTGATCATTAGAAAATCCATAAGTAATATGCCTCAGGAGCATGGGATGATGGCCTCTGATTTGCTCTGCTTATGAAAGCACCTGGTTGGCCCACGCCCAAGACAGACATTTTGATGTAATCCTGTAAATAATACTAATTTTATTAGTATTATTCATGAAGGCATACCAGCTCACTAGTATGTCTTTATGCATACCAAAATATTCCAAAACCTTTAAAGTGCTGTAATAAGAAAATTCACTGATAAATTACTGAAGGCTGATGAAATTACTGAAGGCAGAGAAAAATAGTCATTGTTTCAAACCAGAAGACCTACTTAGATGGAAAGACTTTTGCCATTCCGTTGTTTTAGTTATTTATGCAACCATGCATGCTCATCTCTGACCTACTTCTATCTGCAAGCATGATATTTGGTTGGAATTAGGTCAAATAACTTAAATTTACCATTTTTTTCTACCCAGTTTATCCTCTGGCATGCTATTAGAAATGGAAGGGAAATTTTCACTGTGAAATGAAACAGGCATTGGGGTGGGGGATGCGGGTTATTGGTTCCAGACTGCCGAATGACAGAGTGAAATCTGGTCTCTAGTTAACTGCATTCTCAAGAGATGTTATATGTGTGCTTAATGTGCTTGCTCTTTTACATATGCATTTATGTGATTCCTAGTAATACAAACTTGGTCAAAACTATACAGGCATAAATTACTTTATAAATTTAGGCAGATTCTGTGGTTGGGGGTTGGGGGTCTTATTGTACACGTCCAAATAATTCTCTCTGAAATGCAGGGAGGTGTTTTTTTTCATATTTCCTTTTATTTATTTCTACTTGATTTGTATCTATCCACTCCAAAGGATTTCTGGTGTCATGGTTCCCTCCAACTTCTGTGAACTAGGATATAGAATAAGAGGATTGGAAGGGACTATGGAGGATTTCTAGTCCAATCCCCATCTTGAGTAAGATACTTTATACCATTCCAGACAAATTGTTGTCTAATATCTTCTTGAAAATCCCCAGTGATGGAATACCCACAGTTTCTAAAGAAAAGCAATTCCATTGATTAATTGTTCTCAGGAAATTTCTCCTTATTTCAAGCTTGGATTTCTTTTTAATGATCTTCCACCCATTATACGTCTTCTCCTGCCCTAAGAAGTTTTGCAGAATAGTTCAACCCTTGTTCTTTGTGAGAGCTTGTCAAATACTGGAAACCTGCTGTCATATCACTTCTAGTCCTTCTCTTCATTAGATTAGATATTTAACAGATTTAACAGATTAATAGAGTTGGAAGGGACCTTGTAGTTCATCTAGTCCAACCCCCTGCCCAAGCAAGAGACCCTACCATTTCTGACAAATGGCAATCCAATCTCTTCTTGAAAGTCTCAAATGAAGCTCCCACAACTTCCGAAGGCAAGCTGTTCCATTGGTTGATTGTTCTCACTGTCAGAAAATTTCTCCTTCTTTCCAGGTCAAATCTCTCCTTGTTCAGTTTCCATCCATTATTCCTTGTCTGGCCTTCGGGTGCTTTGAAAATAGTGTGACCCCCTTCTCTCTGTGGCAGCCCCTCAAATATTAGAACATTGTTATCATGTCTCCCTGGTCCTTCTCTTCACTAGACTTAGCCATGCCCAGTTCCTGTAACTGTTCTTCATATGTTTTAGTCTCCAATCCCCTAATCATCCTGGTTGCTCTTCTCTGCACTTTTTCTAGAGTCTCAACATCTTTTTATAGTGTGGTGACCAAAACTGGATGCAGTACTCTAGGTGTGGTCTTACTAAGGCTTTATAGAGTGATATTAGTACTTCACTTGATCTTGATTGTATCCCTCTGTTAATGCAATTTAGGAATGCCAAATGATACCTAGGACTAGTGGCCCTTCCATTCCTGGGGCTACAATGAATGTGAACTATGGTTCCCTAGTCTTATTTTCAATGGTTCTGTAGCAAATCTGGCTGGCTCCCCCCCTGCTATAGTTCTATCTAGTTGGCAAAAAGCGATGGGATTTTCCAATTTTTTCAGTTGGATTCCCAATTTCTCTGCTAGGGAGGGGTTGATTAAGCAACGGGTGCATCCCAAATTCCAGCAGCAACTTCCTCCCCCTTCCCTCGGCTGGGGATAAAGAGTCTTAGAGGTAGAGTGATTGGTTCAATTGGGTCGCTTACCAGCGGGTCATCTTCTGGATGGCTTTGGGACTGGCTCAGGTCTCCTCGGAGCACTGGGTATTCTTCCTCTGGGTTGGGGGGGGGGGCACCGGAAGCTCACAGCTTCTCGGCTTCTCAGGCCAGTTTCCTTTCCTCAAGGGTTGGATGTTCCAGGTTTCCCCCCTGAAAGTCTGGCTTTCTGGTAGGGGTTTTCGAATGGCATTCTGCTGTGTGGTGTCCTTCCTTTCCACACTTAAAGCAGTCTTGGGGTCATGGTGGTTTGGGGTTTGAAAAATTCCCGCTTTCCCTGGGGTGGGGATCTTCTCCAAAGTTTGCCACTGTGGTACTTTTTACGGGTCATGTCTATCTCTGCCTCCTCTGCCATCAGGTACCATTCATGCAGGAGGTTTGGGGCCCCACGGGCCAGGCAGGCAGCGTACAGGTCATCATTGAGTCCATCTTTGAACCAACAGACTAGGATATCTTCTGGCCAGTCGACTCAGCCGGCCAGGTCACAACATTCCTTGGTGTACTCAGCTACCAGGCGACAGCCTTGCTTTACGACTCTGATGCAGTCGTGGGTTTTTCTATTAGTGAGGGGGTCTTTGAAGCAGTGGCATAGGGCTGTCATGAATCAATCGAGGTTCCTCAGTTCTGGGGCATTGACGTTGTCACGTTGATGTTGTGGAGGTTCACTTCAAGGGCCAGGGTGATGACTCACACACGGGGCCCTTGGGTCGGGAAATTCCGCCCGTATTCTTGCATGTATTCTTGCATCAGGAAAAATCCCAGTTTCTGGGGGTCTCCATCGAATTTTACCCCCAAGGGTGGGACCTTTCTCTGCAGTTGTATGTCTCTGGGTTAGCCAGGGTTATCCTGCTCTGGGGCAGTAAAGGGTCGGGTACCTGGTATGGCTGCTGGTTCTTCGGCTTGTTCCACTGCCCGATCATTCTCAGCTGGATCAGGGGTGATGGCTTGGGCTCCCTCAATTTCTGGTTCCCTCAGTCTCCTATGTTGTCTTCCTGGTGCATCCCTCACATTGAGTTCTCCAGGGCTTCCTTCACAA